GATCAGTGAAGTGAGGCACATGGGGGGCAGAGATAGCCTACAGATCAGGGAAGTGAGGCACATGGGGGGCAGAGATAGCCTACAGATCAGGGAAGTGAAGCATGGGGGCAGAGATACCCTACAGATCAGTGAAGTGAGGCACATGGGGGGGGCAGAGATAGGCCCATAGATCAGGAAGTGAGGCATGGGGGGAGGCAGAGATAGCCCACAGATCAGTGAAGTGAGGCACATGGTGGGCAGAGATAGCCTACAGATCAGTGAAGTGAGGCACATGGGGGGAAGAGATAGCCTACAGATCAGTAAAGTGAGGCACATGGGGGGCAGAGATATCCTACAGATCAGTGAAGTGAGGTACATGGGGGGCAGAGATAGCCTACAGGTCAGTGAAGTGAGGCACATGGGGGGCAGAGATAGCCTACAGGTCAGTGAAGTGGTGGAACTGTGGCTATTGAATTAATTACTGGAAGGGTCAGCAAGGACCAGGAAGGTAAAGTAAGAGAAGGAGCAGAAAGGAGAAGGAAGGAGCAGAAATGGGCAGTATGGAGCTGGAAGGGACAGCAGGGAAACTTTGGACCTTCTCATCTACCCAGGTTAAAAAAAAAATATCAGTGTTAATGTGTTCACTTTTATTTACTGAGTGTCAGGAAGCACAGAGGGCCGCTGGGGACGGTTGTCGCTGATTGGCTAGAGCGGTCAGCTGGCACTCTAAGCCAATTAGTAGCTCCCCAGTCATAAAAAAGTTTAAAAAAAATATGAACCGGGAACTAGCGATTGGCTTAGAGCGTCAACTGACCACTCTAGCCAATCTGTAGCACCCATGCCTGACGTCAATCTGCACTTCCTGACACTCCATTTCAGAAGCCGAATACCACTGAGTGACCTGGAAATCTGGAGCTGGAGGAAGCCATTGGGGTTAAATCATTTGAGAGAGATTTAACCCCTTAAAGGAAAAAGCACTCCTGGCTTCCTGGCATCATAGCATTTTCATTTAGATGAAGTTGTTATGGTAACCAGAATGTTCCTTTAATTTGCTTAAAAGAACACTATAGCATCAGGAATACAAAGATGTATTCCTGACACCATAGTTGTGAAAATGCAATTCACCCTGGCTTTATGTGATAATGACTATGCTCCTCCCCTTCATGACACTGTCAAAAAGGGACCAAGCATGGATGTCATTGCCAATCTTGGTGCACTCGACCAAACTCAGCCTTCCAGAACCAACGGAGCACATAGAAAGATTGTGTGAGTCCATGGTTATACCCCAAAAAACACTACTAAATGCGCTACTAAACAATCCAACGCACCCCAACAGCCAAATTCATAGAGGCATGGCAAACGGATAAAGGCAAACTCTTTACCAAAGACCAATGGCTACAAGCATTCACAGCTCACAAAGGTAGATCCAGATGTGCATCAAACCTGGAGCTCATGCGTAAAAAATCCAATATAGGTGGTACCTGGTGCCAACTATATTGGAGAGCATATACCATAATATTTCAAAAGAATGCTAGAGGTGTGGAGCAGATGAGGGCATAATGTACCACATATGGTGGACTTGCCCAAATATGAAGGGATCCTGGGGGGAGGTAGAGAAGATTATTACGGGGGCCATGCACACCACAACCAAATTGCAGCCTCAATGTGGGTTACTGTTTATGACACTCAATACCTACACGAATCCCCAAGCTTGTCTAATTTATCATATACGGATAGCTGCAAACCTCCTGATTGCTAGGAGATGAAAACAGGTTCATGCACCAGAGAGAGCCAGTTTGATACAACAAATCTCATTGAACTTAGACTATGAAACCAAGCGAAACATATGGTAGAAGCCAAGAGTTGGTGGGAAGCACATCTCAGGCATGGGTTGGGCGACAGGGAGAAGGAGGAACAGGAATAAAAGCTGATGGTAGATCAGTGCATAACAGCACACAAAAAAACCCTAGATCTATATACTATCCAGGGGAACAGAGACACTTAGTGCTCAAATGAGGGTTGCCAAGATGGTGGATATGGGTTGCCAAGACGGTACTATACTCTCAGACAAACATATCCAAGGGGAAGGCGGAGAGAAACCCACATAAGCTGTACATAGTTTATGACACTTTATGACTCTAAACAATGCAATAGCAAGAGAGCTAGCTCATCTCATAGGGGCCTGGTGGAAATTATATGAGTCCACGTGGGGAGTGACAAGAATCCAGAACAAGATGTCTAATGATAATATACATATCGAGTGCTACCATGGTGAAATTTGGAATGTTCATGGAAATTGATATAGCTGCTGTATCGCATTTTGTTTTCTACCCCTTTCTTTTTTCTGTATCCCATAATATGCTTTAAAACAAATAAACATTATAAATGGTAAAAAATAAAAACCATTCTTGAAGAGGGTCATAAGTATCTTGAGTGAGGGGGGGAGAGAGAAAAAAAAAACAAGCAAATAGTACAGAAGATGGTGCTAGAAGGGGGGGGGAGTAAAACATTTTTAAAAAAATTACTTATATTAAGAATGCATGAATTCCCATCCAAGAGTTGGCATTCAGACAACCACCACACCTCCAACAAAAATGAATCAACAGGAAACTACCAACTGATGGGAAGAATAAAGAAAACTATCCAGGCAATGCAAAAAACCTTGCTGCAAAATGTGTCAGCACATATGCACAGACAACACAGCCACACAAAACAATATAACCTACAGCATTAAAGGTTCATACTCCTGCACATTCAGCAATGTGGTATATTATTATTGCCATTTATATAGCACCAACAGATTCCGTAGCGCTTTACAATATTATGAGAGGGGGGATTTAACTATAAATAGGACAATTACAAGACAACTTACAGGAACGATAGGTTGAAAAGGGGTCATGCTCAAACGAGCTTACATTCTAGAAACATAGAATGTGACGGCAGATTTGCCTAATTTCCTTAATACTTTTAATTAGTCCCTGGCCTTATCTTAAGTCTAGGATAGCCTTATGCCTATCCCACGCATGCTTAAAATCCATCACTGTGTTAACTTATACCACTTCAGCTGGATGGCTATTCCATGGTTCCACTACCCTCTCTGTAAAGTAATACTTGCTGAAATTATTTTTAAACCTTTGCCCTTCTCATTTAAGACTATGTCCTCTTGTTGTGGTAGTTTTTCTTCTTTTAAATATAGTCTCCTCCTTTACTGTGTTGATTCCCTTTATATATTTAAATGTTTCTATCATATCCCCCCTGTCTCGTCTTTCCTCCAAGCTATACATGTTAAGATCCTTTAACCTTTCCTGGTAAGTTTTATCCTGCAATCCATGAACCAGTTTAGTAGCCCTTCTCTAAACTCTCTCTAACGTATCAATATCCTTCTGGAGATACGGTCTCCAGTACTGCGTACAATACTCCAAGTGAGGTCTCACCAGTGTTCTGTACAATGGCATGAGCACTTCTCTCTTTCTACTGCTAATGCCTCTCCCTATACAACCAATCATTCTGCTAGCATTTCCTGCTGCTCTATTAAATTGTCTTTCTACCTTTAAGTCACCTGAAATATTTACTCCTAAATCCCTTTCCTCAGGTGTTGAGGTTAGTAGGGTATCAAATATTCTATACTCTGCCCTTGGGTTTTTACTTATTTTCTTGCACTTATCCACATTAAATATCAGTTGTCACAGCTCTGACCATTTTTCTAATTTATCTAAATCATTTGCCTTATCCCTCCTGAAACATTAACCCTGTTACATATCTTAGTATCGTCAGCAAAAAGACATACCTTACCATCAAGACCTTCTGCAATATCACTAATAAAAATATAAAGAGAATGGGTCCAAGTACAGATCCCTGATGTAACTAGACCTTGCTTCGAATATACTCTGTTGACTACAACCCTCTGTTGCCTGTCACTCAGCCACTGCCTTACCCATTCGACAATATTGGAATCCAAACAAAGATTGCAGTTTATTGTTGAGCCTTCTATGTTGAACAGTGTTAAAAGCCTTACTGAAATCTAGGTAAGCCATGTCTACTGCACCACCCTGATTTATTATTTTAGTTACCCAAACAAAAAAATCAATAAGATTAGTTTGGTATGATCTCCCTGAAGTAAACACATGTATCTGATCTTGAAATCCATGTGATTTTAGATGTTCAACAATCCTATCCTTTAACATGGTTTCCATTACTTTCCCCACTACTGAAGTAAGACTTACTGGCCTATAGTTGCCCAACTCCTCCCTACTACCTTTCTTGTAAATGAGCACAACGTTTACTAATTTCCAATCTTTTGGGACTACTCCTGTTAATGATTGGTTAAATAAATCCTCTGTAAACTCACATGTAACAAATGACCCATTTGTCCTTTTTCTTAACGGAAGTCGCTCTCCTTAATTTTCATCTCTAGCTAGACCTTTATCCTCTTCTACATACCTTCCTTCTTTTGTTTGTAATCTAACTAATCCTTGTTTTACTTTCCTTTTCTCATTAATGTATCTAAAAAAATGTTTTATCCCCCCTTTTTTAAGGACTGTGCTATTTTCTCTTCTGTGTGTGCTTTGGAGGCGCTTATAACTTGCTTAGCCTCTTTCTGCCTAATCTTATAGATCGGTCTATCTTTTCTAACAAACCTGTGTCTTATCTGCACTCATGTCCCTTTAACCCCTGTATCACAACTCAACTTTGAGTTCTGTGTCGTCTTGCTCAGAAATGCTTTAGACTTGAGAAAGGGAGGTTCTCCCGAAAGCTTTTCCTAAAAAAATAAAAATAAATAAAAAACACAAAAGGTATTACAAGATACAAATTTTACATACATATATATATATATAAAAAAAAAACAAAAACAAAAACAAAACAAGAGAAGCACTCACCTGAACAAGATCCAGCGCACTCACTCATTCAATAAACAGCAATTTTAAATCTCACAGAATTCAAACACCTAACCTAGGCATGCGCGCGCGCGCGCACACACACACACACACACACCTATTTAGACAAGTTTTAAATGACAAACCTTATATTAAAAACCTGCATTGTTTAATGGAATTTCTAACCACTTTACTACAAACACAATTGTTCCCACTAGCTGCTGAAATACAATGTGTCCTAGGCTTGTATGTATATGATATTCATATTTCTAAGCATGATAACATCACTTATAATAGTTCTAATAGGTTCCCGTTCCTCTGCATGCAATGCTTGTTCTGATGTTACGGCTGTCCAGATCCCATGTGATTTTAGCAATGACGGGTGAGTGTCCTGGAAACTGTTTTGAAAATCTGTTTTGGATCAGTGAATGACAATGTAAATCGGCACTGAAACATTAGTCATTTCGGAGTAAAATTGAAAGAAAAGAAACATGTGGAGATGGAGATAATATCAAAAGAAATATTTTATGTTTTGCAGTCAATGGCACTTGAGCATTCTGTATTGAAAATTATATTTACACATTCGCTAAAGCAAGAACATGTGACACTAAGGTGTGTTATTGACAATCCGAATATATTGGCTTTTTAGCAATGATTTGACGAAGGTCCCCAAGAATATAAAGGTCAAGGTATTGAAATGCTGAACTGTTTAAAAAAATTAAAAATTCAGTCTTCAGTTTTGCTGTATTAACATTTGCATGATTAAACACGGTCCCATTTAGGTGTTTGGTTACATATATATATGTAAATTAATACGTCTTCACTTTTTTTGCAGAGTGAACATGTTTCAGGAAGTCAAAAGTATTAGTCCTGGTGTTTTTTCAACAGGCATCATAGAGTGTTATTAATTCCTCAGGATCGTCACATTCTTCCTCTACATTTGACGAACAGTCTGATTTGCGGTTTTCTGCTTTGTTCCTCCTCCTGCGGCGTGTGTATACTGAGCTTGCAGGTGGCGTCTCGCAGTTACTTGTATTCGCTTTATTTTGTAATGCATGTACAAGGCTACTGTGAAACCTGTGTGTACAAGGTTAAATATGGTTTTATTAGAGGGCAAGTGCAAACAGAATCCTTCACACTACGAAACCCCCCCCCCCCCAAAAAAAAAACAGTTCTTACGGTCATACTCAAGCACAATTCAAAAAAAGAAAATTAAATGTATAATTTTTGTTAGGGGAATATTATGCCCCACATTAACCAAGTTAGGTGACCCAGATTTATGTGATTTTTTTTTTTTTTTAGTAAAAAGTTTGTTATAGAATCAGAAAAGACATGCAAAAAGTCTAACAAGGCACTCACATAAAAGAACATGCAAAATAAGTATACTAGCACCACCAAGGGGCAAATAAAATCTACAATAATTTAAGCTTACCAACCTTGCAATTCTACGAAAATTTTCTTCCATCTTTTGATTTGCAGTGTGGACAACATGTGTAATATATTCATTACTAACCAAACACTTCCCTTTAAAGCACAGTGGGACTTCCAAACAATGGGTGCTTCTGACAGCCTTTAAGAAACCCAACAAATAATTATCAAATGATGCACATTAGAGAACATAGATTATTAGTATTGCCATTTTTATAGCGCCAACAGATTCCGTAGCGCTTTACAATATTATGAGAGGAGGATTTAACTATAAATAGGACAATTGCAAAAAACTTATGGGAACTATAGGTTGAAGAGGACCCTGCTCAAACAAGCTTACAGTCTATAGGAGGTGGGGTGTAAAACACATTAGGACAGGATTTTGCAGTCAAATAAGATGGGCTGCCCTTTAGGAGAGAGCAAGGGACAGGTATGTGAGGTAGAGGTTAGTCTTGGAGGCCATAAGCTTTCCTAAAGAGATGGGTTTTAAGGCACTTCTTAAAAGATGCAAGACTAGGGGAGAGTCTGATGGCGGCAGGCAGGCTATTCCATAGGAAGGGAGCCGTCCGTGAGAAGTCGTGCAAGCGCGAGTTGGCCGCATGGGTGCAAGCAGCGGACAGGAGAAGGTCACGGGCAGAGCAGAGAGACCGAGAAGGGACATACCTATGGATCTGTGAGGAAATATAAGAGGGGCTAGAGTTGTTCAGTGCTTTATAGGTGTGAGTTAGTACCTTGAATTGACTCCTATAGCATACAGGAAGCCAATGAAAGATAATACATTCACATGGACAAACTTGAAGAAAAATAACCCTGCATACTGTACATTCTTGTACTACTTTATATTCATTTGGATATAATTTCACTCAGGTCAATCTCTTCCATTCAGCTTGAAATATATTTTTAAAAGCTTTGTACATATAGGGTTAATTTATTAACTAGTTCAATCTCAAGTGATGATATCCTAATGTATTAGTTAACAGTCTAAATGAGATAAATATAGAATCTATCAAGTGTAGTCATCCTGCTCTTCGACCTCTGGAGGAGGACAGTGTATATATATATATATATATATATATATATATATATATATATATATATATATATATATATATATATATATATATATATATATATATATATATACACACACACACACACACACACACACACACACGTACGTTTCTGGGGGCCATTTTTTTCAACCTATGTGATGAAAATTGGTCTTTTACAGGTGGTGACTAATTCTCAATAATTATTCATACATTGCAAGAATCAATAGGCCTAGATTAATTGTGCACAGCATAGCAGATAGGCCCTAGTGGCTTTTTCACCATATATTCTCACACTAGTAAAGTAACAACACGTGCTCCATAATGCAGGCACAGCATTTTGTGCCAATAAGAAAAGTGATATATTCCTGGAGAACAAAATGTGCAACGACAGGTTCAGATGAAATATTGTTAACAGTAAAACAAGGCACTCACCATAATAATCCTGCCTTTCTTGCCAACAGTGATTCCAGAATTTCTAAATCCAGAATTTATTGACACATTATGCTGAAAGAGAGAGATAGTTACACGATTACTCCACGCAACTATATACAAGAAGGCATTGGATACAGTATAAGGTCATACAGCACCCTTTTTTTTTTTTTTTTTATATAATTCACTTCAACCAGCAGTTTCTGCTTTTTAATGAAATTGAAATATTGCCTGCAGCAGAATCCTGCAATTCCAATAAAATAAAAAAATGCCTTCTCAGAACAAAAATGCAGAGACTGTCTGAGATGGCACAGCCTGTTCCTGTATGCTGTTTATCCAATAAATCTTTGAAAAGCAATACTTTATGGGCCTAGTACTAGCAGCTAAAAATGGTAGTGCATTTGTCACTTTCTATAACTAACTAGAAAAGACAGGGACATTCTTAGCACAATATGCTTTGCACCTTGGAGAACAACTGACAGCTAGCTTTATAAGCTGAATTAAAAACACAAATTCTTCTCTCAAGTGTGGGAGATATTTAAAAGCCAACTGAATTTCAAGAAAATATAAATCTGTAGAAAAAAAGATCCAGGTTTAGGAGTCGCCAAGATGAAAGGGTCAGTAAGCACTTTGTCTTATTCCGCTGTGAGCCACATTCATCTCTTAAGGGTGTTTGCCGTACAGTGAACCCAGGGGTACATAAAATGGATTGCAGCTGTGGTTTGCATGCTTCCTTTAAAAATGCACTTCCACTCGACCTATGTGATGACTGGAACTGTAAGTGGGTGTAAAATAAATATTTCCCATAAATGTCTGCGGAACAAAAGGTTTATGGGACAATATCACTTCTCATAGGCCCAGAATAAGACACTTATGACTAGAGTGTCTCATCCTGATGTGTGAGTGGTCTGCCTATATCTGGAGTGCACCAAGGAACACTTACAAGATAGGTAGCTTTTACTTTATTTCTTTTTGCAAGACTCTTACTGCATTACTTATATAATGAATAAAATAAATAAATAAAAAAAAAAGTTTAAGGTCAGTGTGTAACTAGATAATCTACTTAATGGTAGTTGTAAGGTAAATAAGGATTTAGTTTACTTACCTTACAACTCCCTTTAGTTTTAGGCTTCTGGCCATTCTGTTATAAATCACTGTAATGAAAGCAGGGTAACCATCTTACTAGGAGCTGTGCATCTTCCAACGAACGACACTGGACGTGAAGAACAAACGGTTCAAACTTCAACACGGCATTGCCGACAGCCTTCTGAAGACCTTCCACCTGCAAACAAGTTGGTATTAGTAAAAGCTCTAAAACTATTGGTAATAAAATTGCTTCCACCACTTACTATTAAATCACAATCACGAAATTTGAGGGTGTTACTATATTACAAGACTCACCACATCTTCAGTCTTACAGAGTTGATGGGTTACAAACAGCCAGGAACAGTTCTTTTTCTGTATTGTAGAAATATCAGGGTTCTAAGAGATAAAGAAAGTGGCAGTGGAATGAAAAGACTTTTACCATTACTCATTTAATCCTTATTACATAAACAATTCTGGACTCGAGGCCATTATCTAGACAAATTATGGAAGCAGTCATGTATACAAGGCTTTGTCAGGGAACAAACAATAATGGGTAAATGACCAGTAAATGTAATTACAGAAATAAATGAGTATTTTTAAGTAAATGGCAGTAAAAGGTGTATAACTAAAGTTATACAAGAAACTGAGCGTACAGGGTAAGTCAGTAGATGTACATATAAGAGATTGGGTTACAGGGTGAGTATTTAGGGTTGCCTCAACAACCGAGTGTAAATGGTGTGGTCAATAAGGCTGATAATAGTATCTACGGTAGAGTACTAGTAACCAGAGTTGCATAGTAAATAAGCATATAGGAACTGGTCAGTGGGTTACTTAAAGTTTTGCATGGTCAGGTCAATGAGGGTACATTTATTTTAATGTACAAGACCAGGTCAGTGGGCTATTTAGATTATCAGGGGTACAAAGCCATGTCAATGGGATGCAGACGTTATTAGTATTGCAGGGCTAGGTAAGTGGAGCAGGGTGTAAATACAGATATGACTGGGGGTGCAGGGTCAGGTCATTGGGGTACAGAGATTATTGGGGAGTGGTGCAATGAGAGTGACGTACAGGGATTAACCTCTTAAGGACCAAACTTCTCGAAAAAAAGGGAATCGTGACATGTCACACATGTCAAGTGTCCTTAAGGGGTTAATGGGGTGAATTGCCTGGTGAGTGGGGTACAAAGATTATTGGGGTGAATTGCCTGGTGAGTGGGGTACAAAGATTATTGGGGTGAGGTGCCAGGTGAGTGGGGTACAGAGAGTATAGGGGTGCGATGCCAGGTCAGTGGGGTACAGAGAGTATAGGGGTGCGATGCCAGGTCAGTGGGGTACAGAGAGTATAGGGGTGCGATGCCAGGTCAGTGGGGTACAGAGAGTATAGGGGTGCGATGCCAGGTCAGTGGGGTGCAGAGAGTATAGGGGTGCGATGCCAGGTCAGTGGGGTACAGAGAGTATAGGGCTGCGATGCCAGGTCAGTGGGGTACAGAGAGTATAGGGGTGCGATGCCAGGTCAGTGGGGTACAGAGAGTATAGGGCTGCGAGCAAAGGTCAGTGGGGTACAGAGAGTATAGGGCTGCGATGCCAGGTCATTGGGGTACAGAGAGTATAGGGGTGCGATGCCAGGCCAGTGGGGTACAGAGAGTATAGGGATGCGATGCCAGGTCAGTGGGGTAGAGAGAGTATAGGGCTGCGATGCCAGGTCAGTGGGGTACACAGTTTATTTGGGCTGCGATGCCAGGTCAGTGGGGTACAGCGTATAGGTGTGCGATGCCAGGTCAGTGGGGTACAGTGTATGGGGGTGCGATGCCAGGTCAGTGGGGTACAGAGTATGGGGGTGCGATGCCAGGTCAGTGGGGTACAGCGTATGGGGGTGCGATGCCAGGTCACTGGGGTACAGCGTATGGGGGTGCGATGCCAGGTCAGTGGGGTACAGCGTATGGGGGTGCGATGCCAGGTCAGTGGGGTACACAGTTTACTGGGGCTGCAGGGAAGGTAACCTCATCCAGCAGGATAATTCTGCCCGAGCATGAGCTGGTGGTAAAGAAAGAATCTCGCAGGTTGATAAATCGAACGGTGTCCGCGATATCTGGATCCACGCTTCCCTTCTTACTAACATCCACCTTGCGTAAAGCCAGCAACTTCCACCGTGAGAACGGATCCCCAGAGTCCCCGGGGGTCTCCATGGAGGAGGGGATATCAGGGGCCCCGGGGGTCTCCATGGAGGAGGGGATATCAGGGGCCCCGGGGGTCTCCATGGAGGAGGGGATATCAGGGGCCCCGGGGGTCTCCATGGAGGAGGGGATATCTGGGGCCCCGGGGGTCTCCCTGGTGGAGGGGATATCAGGGGCCCCGGGGGTCTCCATGGAGGAGGGGATATCAGGGGCCCCGGGGGTCTCCATGGAGGAGGGGATATCTGGGGCCCCGGGGGTCTCCATGGAGGAGGGGATATCTGGGGCCCCGGGGGTCTCCCTGGTGGAGGGGATATCAGGGGCCCCGGGGGTCTCCATGGAGGAGGTGATATCGGGGGCCGACCCCCGTGGTGCAGAGGTAGTCTGTGAGTCCATCCACGAGGGAAAATTAAACACCGATCGCATGTGGATCGTTATGGCCCTGGGTACATGCGTTCCACCTGGCTGTGGGCGCCGCCATTTTTTTTCTACGGAAACTAAAAGGGACCAAACTCTAACTAACGGCGGATTTTGTGTTTTGTACTTTAAATGCGGTGACAGCGCTATCATTTATGAGGGAGGAGGAAGCCAAATTAAGGTTTCGATGATACCCTGCTGGTCTATGTTCTTGCAGTCACGTGATCGGAATGCTCAGTAGGTCCATGTCCTGCATTTCTATTACTCTGACCAAGAACTTATCTGGGTTTTGCCCATGTCAAAAGTAAATCACTTAAAGGACCACTCTAGGCACCCAGACCACTTCAGCTTAATGAAGTGGTCTGGGTGCCAGGTCCTTCTAGGGTTAACCCATTTTTTCATAAACATAGCAGTTTCAGAGAAACTGCTATGTTTATCAATGGGTTAAGCCTTCCCCCATTCCCTCTAGTGGCTGTCTCATTGACAGCCATTAGAGGCGCTTGCGTGCTTCTCACTGTGATTTTCACAGTGAGAGCACGCCAGCGTCCATAGGAAAGCATTGAGAATGCTTTCCTATGTGACCGGCTGAATGCGCGCGCAGCTCTTGCCGCGCGTGTGCATTCAGCCGACGGGGAGGAGAAGAGGAGGATCGGAGGAGGAGAGCTCTCCGCCCAGCGCTGGAAAAAGGTAAGTTTTTACCCCTTTCCAGAGCCAGGCGGGTGGGGG